GGATCGCCTATGCATTCGTGTGTTGGCATCGGAAGATCGCATTAAATTTATTTCGACGTCAGTGAAGTGGGCGTGTTCGTCCCTCTGGTCCTCTCGGTTTCTCGAAGGACAATTGTCTTCGAGGTACTTGGAGGGACTGAGGCAAAACACGTGGATAATTTGTGGACCGGTGTCTTCTGACGATAGCTCGCAGAAATAATTGTTAATAATAATAATTCGAGCGTTTTCAAGGGCGAGAGGTCTGCTCTCTGTGTGTTTTTGTTTGAGAACTCGTGGCAAGAAACTGTGTTCGATCCTCAGTAAATTTGTTGTCGGAGACGATTTTGAGGGAAGTTGTGTTTAATTTTCCTTGCGTGATTTGGTTCCTTTGTATCAAATACGAGATGTTTCGGCCTTGGTTTTAGGCCTAAATTGTATTTGCTCTATGACAAGGCAAAGCGAACTGTTCTTCTCGAAGACATGAATTAAGGCTTCCACGTGTTTTCCTTTTCTATTCCACGAAAGTCGACTTGCGTTCAGAAGCTCAGTGCTTTTGCATTCTTGATTAATTCTTTGCGTTTGTTTACTTGTATTGTGTTTTAAACGGAAGATGCGCATTTAAGGATGAAGTGTAAGGATCAGACAGGAGAGTAAAGACGCCGAGTGTCTCGTTTTTCCGTTTACCTGCACAGACGTCACGGAAGTTGGGCAATTCTGGCCAGAGCTGCGGGTGGTGATCTGCTCCGCGCGTCTGAGAACATGCGCCCTGTGACGTGAGCAGGATTTGCATGGCGTCGGTGATTCTGACGAGCACCGAAGGAAATCGCAAACGGAGCAGAGGCGAACTTGGTTAATGTTTTCGTCCCGAGTAGTAGATGCGTTTCCTTCTCTTTGCCTCCGGGCACGTGACAGTTTCCGCATTCTTTCCAGGTCTTGAGACTCCGCACCGGACAGTAGTCGCCGTTAAGTCAGCGTCTTCCACGCATAACAAGGGGCTTACTTACTTACTTACTTACGCACGCACGCACGCACTGTGACTTATCTCAGAAGACAGCGGAACAACTCCACTGGAAATGTTTCTCCTGTCTCCCAGTCAGTCTTCGTCAAGGCCGTCGTAACGCTGCACTGTGCGTCAACTGCAACACGGGCAGTTGACGCACAGCGGAGGAGCCGGGTAACTCAGTGAGTACGGACTGAACGACCGGGGTTCGACCCCCGACGGGGGCAGAGGATTTTTCCTCTACGTCCAGACCGGCTCTGGGGCCCACCCAGCCTCCTCTACAATGGGTACCGGGGTCCTTTCCCAGGGGGTAAAGCCACTCACCCCCATCTAGCGCCGAGGTCAAGGAAGAGAGGAGCTACACCGCCTCTCCCCTCAAGCGCCTAAATGGCGTATAGCGGGACAATTTTCCTCTTTTTACCTAAACACACCGGATCTGCTGTCGGGCATCGAATGCTCGGAGCATTCGCGTAAAGAAACATCGAAACTGTCTTTGGTGCGTCAGAAGAGTCTGTCCGCCCCGGATTGATACGTCAGCGACATTTTCAGCGGCCCCCAAAGGCATCGTTGGGGCCATTAGATGATTCTGTCGTTCGCGGAGGCCCGCCGTAAAGAAGGTACACGCCACTTTAAACAGACAGTCGATTAAAAGGAAGCCAATTTAAACCTTCTGAAAAGTTCTTCGCATTCTGGGGTTTTGCGTGGAAGACGACGACAAAGAATCGCCGAATTCCAATGGAGCATCTCCTATTTAAGGTGCTTTCAGAAATGTACGAACGAACGCCACCTCGCAATTTCAGAGACGGAACTTACATTCATGGCCTCCGAAACGCGGGTGGAAATCTACCAGACTCAGCGCTGATCATTAAACTTTCTGGTACAAAGCTTTGCTGCCATCACGCATGCGCAAAATGTTGGGCACTGACGTTGATGAGTGGCAGAAGTGGAGGTCAGACGACGGTGATGCTGAAACGTCCGGTCCACCGTGCGTTCCCCTCGCGCGCAGGACGGCGGCCACGCCAAAATAATCGAACTGCTCATTCACCAAAATTAAATTCGTGCAATTTGTAATCCAAGCTGTCAGTTCAGAAACGCCGGAACGTTTTAGACCACAAACTGAGGAGATAAGACAGTGTTCCGTGCGGCAAACTGGACACCATTGGCCGTGACCTACTTCAAAGCGATATCTCATCATTTTCGTGTGACCGAATAGACGACAAAAACATTCGCTCATAAATCAACCATACAAACGTGTGGGGTCTGACACAAAAATAACTGCGATCGCCCTCGAAACAGTTCCCTTCCGAGTTGACACACATCATTTTCTGTGTGGCTGCCTTCATCGCTTCTACCGTCTGAAAATGGGCCCCTTTGATCCTGGTTAAGAATTGCTTCGCAGACAAAGTTGTGTGGGCTGGCGCTTAGTTTCCGGGTCATATTGAAATGTCCAAGTCTCAACACAAGTAACGACAGATTTCAACAAATCCCGTTCGTCCTCAATGCGTTGCTCAATTCTTAGGTTAAAATGCGTCGAACACTGAACCTGCCGTCTTCTCGATCCACATATCGGCAATTGATCTGCGCACGCGCCCGTCGGACATCGTATAAAATTTGTGCTGTTTATCGGTCGTCTTTCTGTCGGTAATTCGTTTATTCCAGCGATTTCTGTGTTATTCATTTACTTTCTGCCCGCGTTAGTGTTCGTACGTTTTAAAACCGGGAGACAGAAATACATTTCATGCAGAAGAAAATAGTAGAATACTGAAATGACTTTTAAACCTCTTTTCGTGAATTAGAATCTGTGTTTTGTGAATAAGTGGTTGGATGGTTTTAGAATGCTGAATTAGAAAAGAGTGAACGTAGAGTCGTGGCTTATTTTAATTTACTATCCTGACTGCAGTAGTTCACAGACACGCCGCTTCGAGAAATAAGTACGTTATTGGGGACGGTTTACGTTCACGGAATGTGATTTAGAATCGATAATTGCGTTAAGTGTAATTAATATTAGGTGACAGTTTCTCAGTTTGCAAACGCCACAGATTCTAATGTGCGTGAGACATGAGATCGATTCTGGAGTGTTCGATCTCTCGATTTTACTCGTCAGTGTCGCCGAAACAAATGGACAGGCTAGACGATGGTCTGATTCGAATTCAGGACAGGCTTTGTGTCGTTTTTCGAAATCGAAATGAGCAGCCCAACTCAGAGGTAGGAAACGTTGTGAGGTGTGACCGACCCTAGCGCCACTTGCAAGATGCTCATAGATGTTTACAAAATACAGAATTTGGTGTAACAACTTTTCATACTCACCGCTGTGAGAACCTCAAGTCTTACAACTTTTGCTTTGTGTGAATTAGCAAAACGGCGGCTACAAAAGGAAAAAGTTGATTTGACTGGGTTTCGATCCCGTGACTCGGCGCGCACGTGGCCAGAGCTAATGCGGTTTATTACGCGTCGCTGTTGGTTTTCGACGCCACTGAAAGATGTTAAGACCACGTGATTTGTGTAGTTTGACAGAAAGCTCTGTGAGTGAAACATGTGACGTGGTCTTTTATTAACAATTCACAACTTTCGAAGAATTCGTGGAATCCGACTTGTGGTGTAGACGTTCCCAGTTCACGTCTTGTTCGGTGCATGAACAAATGTTTTTGTCGTCTATTCGGTCACACGAAAATGATGAGATATCGCTTTGAAGTAGGTCACGGCCAATGGTGTCCAGTTTGCCGCACGGAACACTGTCTTATCTCCTCAGTTTGTGGTCTAAAACAGCCCAGCGTTTCTGAACTGACAGGCCTACAGGAGCTTAGTGGAGCGGCGAATGGGATTTTTTAAAAAATTGGCTCTGATTCTTTGTTGACAGCGTAGAACGTGGTTGTACATCAGATATGACCCATATTCTGGAGTTGTGCTGAAGATTTACCGTCCTCGTCATAACAGATGCTTTATTAATCGACCTCTCACATCCTGATCTCTGTAAAGAAGAATAGAAATGTGAGTCGTAGGAGGCAGCCAATCAGTTATGAAAATAAAATAAATTGAACCCTAATGCAGGTATGTAATGATTTTCATTCTCGAGAATATCCCCAGTTTAGGCGGCAAGTCCATATTAAAATATTTATTTGTGGTAGCAAATTCAACTTGTTTTTATCGGATTAATAAACACACAATTTCGCTGTGACTGTACAAGAACCCGCGAAGGTCACGTCGTGTTGTAACCTGCTTTTGCCAGTCCATTAGTTGATCATCAGCAGTCGAAGTGCGAGGATGTGTTCGTTGTCGACATCTCGTTCGTGCGTGACTCGTCAGAATGAGTTTAGGAACACATTTCCAGATTTTGCTGTCTCCTGGCGAATCGACATTATTTCCGTCTGGGGTTCGTCGAAACGCGAGGAAAGGAATCGAACACGTGCATCGTCGAATGCGGTGAAAATTTCCAGCACTTCGTGTACGATTGTTTTTTGTTTTCCGATTTCAGCTTAATTTATTATTTGACAAATAGAACACGTGTCATGATTTTTTTTTTTGGTATCGAACAGGATAAGTTTACAACTGAAATATATATTTTGTTTACCGAACCAATTTGGTGGAATGGTGGTGAAGTTTTATTCCAGATTCACGTTTGGTGCAGGTTATGTGGAATCAAGATTAAATTTGCCTCAGAACTTTCAGTGTGCGGCCCCAAATACTAAATATCATAAAAATCTGTAGGTGGTACTTGTAGTTAGACAAGTGGATGGCCCCAACTTCCTCTTTCCGTGTTGATTTTGTGAACCCAATGCAAATAATTTGTAAAAAAGAAATGCTGTATTGTCATTTTTATTTCAAGGTGGCAGAAACATCAACATTCTCAGAATATCACAGTCTCTGAAATATTGTGTTGGAAACTTTAATTTTTAAGCGGGTAGTCGCGTGTCAGGCAATCAAACATTACGCTAAGAAATTCTGCTGCTTTGACTTTTAGCCATTAAATATGTTCCCATTCTTGTTCTTGTGCACTAAAATATTTTTTCGTGTTCTGTTACAGATTGAATGCTGATGCCCTATTAGCCCAGACTGTCTGTTGCCCAACCTTGTCCTCTCGAGCTGTTCCTGAAACGGCTTCACTCTGTTTACCACAATCATGGGGCGTAAGAAAATACAGATCTCACGCATCACAGATGAACGTAATAGACAGGTGAGCCCACACCAGAGGCACAGTTTCCATAAGAAGTAACTTTGATGGTTCAGTCGTCTCAGATGGCTCAGTTTCCATGTACAGGGTGGGTGGGAAGAGTTTCACATGTTAACAGGAGGAACTGGCAGAAAGCCTCAGAGTAAATGGAAAATGTAAGCGAATAATTCTCTAAAAGGAATTGTTCTTGCGACGTCACCAACTGGGTTAAGTTGTAACTGTTTTTTTACCCATTGTTTTATGCGCCATTTCTTGGACACCTTGTATACAGTAAAGTGACTGCCCGTAGGCTGGATTATTGCAGTTTGATCCTTGGTAGAGGCACAGGTCTGTCGAGACCCAATCTGGTAACCTCTTAGCTCTTGTCCAGTTTACCTTAGGGTCTGAAACTTTACACAAATTGTAGAATGTACCCCAGTGCTTCTGTACTCTGTGGGTTCATGGCGTTATCCGTATGCACAGGAACAAATTATTTACCGTTTTAGTGATAATATTATTAGTTGAAATCAGTGGTTAGTTTTCATTAGCTTTATTCTGTTACATTCACTAATAAAATATTTTGTGTGCCTAAACGTCCGTTTCTTATCACCACAATTTCTTTTTCTAACTGCATTTTGTGAGAAAATGCACTTTTCTCATCTTTTATGCCAGACCAGAAGTTTAATATACAGATTTACTTCAATTATGTAATTTGCCTTCGTCATATAAGGAACAAAGATATTTCTTGTGCATGCAATTTATATGTAGACAATTTTTATTGATAGACTTGCGTTCCATGCATAGTAAATATTGCATATGACCTAAATTAAATTTCTGTGTCACAGAGCCCAGTGTCAGATTTCATTGAAATAACTCACTGGCGTGTGAACGCTTGAATCCGTTCACTTCCACTGTTTCTGTGTGTTTTTCCTTCTGCCGCTAAGTTTGTAATGGGAGGGGTTAATGAAATGCTGGGTTCTCATGCCCTGTAGACTTCTAGGTCCATGTGAGTTAGGTTGGTGCAGTTGTACCCACCACAATTGTTATTCTTTAAAGTAACGTAACAGATGTTATATGCGTCCAGTAGTATTTTGAGGCCTATTCCCATAGCCACCATAATCCTCAGAGAGGTGTATCATTTGTTTTTCTTCATCGCTCTTGCCTGCTTGTGCAATGTTTTGCTTATCATGATGGTTTAAATTCCAGCTTTCTATGCAGCCATCGCTGCTCATCTGTAAAATGTAAATTACCTACAAGCTTTGAAATCTGTGCACAGAAATCAGTTTCTTGTCTCCTTCTGCCTGCTGTGACTGCCGCAGTAGCAAAACGTGCGTTCGCTTTATTTGTGGTTTATTTAATATCTCTTTCACTGTCTCAAAACTGGATGAATAATAAGTACAAGGAAGATATGGAAGGAAGCAATCATGAAGGGACTGGGGAAAACCACTCCATCCTGAGACAGGATAAATCAGTTTTAGGCCACGATACCAACCTGGGACTTCCCAGATACAAAGTAAGACTGCGGCACTCCTTTCTTTGTTGTGCTAACCTGCGTACAAGATGAGGTCTTGTGACGGGCTGATCGGTCGTCCGAGGAGCGCTACCAGATGTTGACCTCCAAAAAGAGGCAGCCAAGACCCACCCTGGGTTGGGAGCCACAGATGATGATGGTTATTCTGTAGTTATTTGCTGTTGTTGATTTTTGCGCTACAGGATTGTGGTTTGAGGATCTTGTAGTGCTGAAAATTCAGAGTGTGTCTTCTGGGATGTTACACCGTATATAAGTGTTAGTGGTTACCTTCATTTTGGAGGAACCTAATGTGCAGGTTCCAGGTTACTATGAAACATTGATAAACACCTACAAGATTACGTGGTGTCACATCCTATAGGACCGCAAACAAAGCCAGTTGTAAAATAGTAAATTTCCCAGCTGTGGAAATGCACATTTATTCTTGTTGTAGCATTTTTTTATTTTGTATGGGTCAGCATAAGTAAATGTGCACATACACACTGACTAGCCAAGTTAAGATGCAGATACCAGTTGAGGTGACCCAGTTCTTTGTACGCGCAGGTAACATTCAACAAGCGGAAGTTTGGCGTGATGAAGAAAGCTTATGAGTTGAGCGTTCTTTGCGACTGTGAGATTGCACTCATCATCTTCAGCAGCTCCAACAAGCTGTACCAGTATGCGAGCACAGATATGGACAAGGTACTCCTCAAGTACACCGAGTACAATGAGCCACATGAGTCACTCACCAACAAGAACATCATTGAGGTGAGCCAGCGTGTGTTCATAATTAACTGCTTCTAATTTCGTGTTTGATTTAATTTTGGATGTTAAGTGGGTTATATTTCAGAAGACTTAAATTCACTGTGATATTTGAACTTATTTGTGTAACAAAACACATCGATTCAATCTAAAATGCAGTCAGTTGTTCAGAAGACCGCCTCTTGATGTATCTGAAGCTCACGAAACATTTCAGTAAACGAATTTCTCTGCCACAGTACTTGTTGTATAACGCTGATGTTCAGATGAAGTATTTGTAGTGCCGCAGAGTGCAACGGATGGTAGGATTTTTGTGTTACGAGATTGTGGGAGGCTGTTGTACGCTGTGCGTGCGTATTCAGGTTACTTGACGTGGTTGCACTTTGTTTTTTGTATTTATTTGTGTATTTGCAAAATATGGCAAGAAGGATGATGCGTGATGATGACAAATTAGTGTCTGTCTTAGTTGTTAGGAGTTGAAATAAATCAGGCATTAAGCGAATGTGAAATAAGCGATGCTGATGCCAGTGAGATTGGCAGTTTAATACGAGTGGAACTCTTCTTTGATCTGAATTTGTTGTACCTCAGCCTGCATGAAACCACACTGAATTTAAACA